TGAAGACTTACTAGTTTTAATAGTCTTTGTATGACCTTTTGTGATGATTTGATTTTTTATTAACCCCGCATGTATTACTTGTTGAATTATACACACAGAACCAGCTGATGAAACAAGTTTGCTGGGCAATCAACTGATTTTATTCCCATTTAAAATAATACTCATGTTGTTTCTTAAAGATTCCCTATACTTTAGGATTCATTCATTCATTTAGCAGATTTTAAATTTTATTTATTTTTGGCAAATAAGAATTGTATATATTTAAGGTGTACAATGTGATGTTTTGATATATGTATGCTGTGAAAATGATTACCACAACTAACATATTCACCCCTTCCTATAATTACTATATTTTTGTGTATGGTGAGAGCACCTGAGTCCTGCAATCTTAATAAGTTTCAAATACACAATATATTATTATTGACTATAGTCACCACGCTGCACCTTAGGTATCCACAACTTATTCATCTTATAACTGAAAGTTTGTACCTTTTCATCAACATCTCCCAGCCTATGATAAGCACCATTCTATACTCTGTTACTATGAATTTTATTATTTATTTGTTTATTTATTTAGTTAGTTATATTCCACATATAAGGGAGATAATGTGATATTTGTATTTCTGTGTCTGGCCTATTTCATTTAACATAATGTTCTCCAGATTCATCCATGTTGTTGCAAACAGCAGCATTTCCTTCTTTCAAAGTCTAAATAATATTTCATTACATGTATACACTACATTTTCTTTGTTCGTTCATCTGTCAATGAGCACTTAAGTTGTTTCCATATCTTGGCTACTGTGAATAATGCTGCAAAGAACATGGGAGTGCAGATATCTCTTCAAGACAGTGATTTTATTTGCTTTGGATATATACCCAGAAGAGAGATTTCAGCAGATATTTTTGAGTGCTTATTATGTGTCAGGCAGGGACTAAATAATGTACTGAAAATATAATGATGAATAACATAGGTACAGTCCTTGCCTTTGTGGAACTTAATTTCTAGAGAAATGGCAGATATGAAACAAGTAATTGCATAAATAATTTGATATTTCTAATCATGAAAAGTTCAACAAAGGCAGGGTATAGGGTGATAGAAATCCTAAGCTAGACTGTGCACTCAATGAAGACTTGCCAGAGTATGTGACCTTTTGAATGAACTGCAAAATTAGTACAATTTAGGTAGTAGAAAGGGAAAAGAAGAATAAAAGTGCATCACAGGCACATGGAAGAGCCTGTGTGAAGATCCTGAAGCAGGCAGGAGCATGGGGTATTAGAGGAAATGAAAGACAGCCAATGGCTGGAGCTTAGAAAGAAAAGGGTGAAAGGTATAAGATGAGACTAGAGAGTTTAGTATGGCCTTTTAGGCCATGTGTAAAATTTTGGAGTGTATTTTAAGAGCAATGGGAAATCATGAAGGATTTAGGTAGAGGAGGATATGATCAGATTTGAATTTTTAAAAATTTACTTTACCTGCAGTGTGGAGAGTGGACTGGAGAGAGAAGCAAGCATAATTATTTGTGGACTCCTTATGGGGTCCTGCTGGGACCTGCTGTGGTACTCTAGGCAAGATACTATGGGGGCAGTCCTGATTGAGAAGTGGATATATTTACAATATATCTTTGAGATAAATCTGGAAAGAGTTGCCAATGAAATGGTTGAAGGGTGAAAGAGAATGATATATTAGGGATGACTCTTACGTTTTTGTCTTGAGTAACTGATCAGAAGGTGGTACCATTTCTAAGGTAGGAAACACTGGATGAAGAGAATTAGGTGTGGGGTTGAAATTTTCAGGAGTTCAGTAATGAACATATTCAGAAGAGGTGTTGAGTAAGAGGTTGGATATACGTATCTGGAGCTCAAAGGAAAGGACAGGAACAGAAACCATTAAATTACTGGCTTGTAAAAAGATGACACTTCAGACTTCACAGTTGAGTAAACTTATGAATAGAAAGAATTGAGGATTTTCAACTCAGGAAACCAATAAGTACAAAATTAGTGTCACAGTGATTTAATTGGGTAGTCAATTCATAGGTATCCATCATCTCATTGTACTGTGACTTATCCAATTAAAATATTTCAGTTCTCAAAAATAGATGTCCATAGAAAAATAGAATAGACAGCAATTTTATTGATATTATCAACTCTTATATTCATCTTTACTTTGCAAGAAAAAATTATAAAAATACATTTGATAGAAAAGGTATTTTGAGCATTTTCTCCATGTAGAGGCTATAAATCTTTCTAATATAATAATCTTTTCCAGAGAGAGTGTGATAAATTTAGAAAAAGAACAACTAAATATAGTCTGGCATTTTATCTTTCTGAGGGTCATGCTTTCTAGCCTTAGTAAAAATGGGATTTCAAATTTGGGGCAAAACATACTGAAAAATTAGCACTACAAGGTAATGATTTGTTTATTTTGTTTTATCCCCCTAGATGTAAACTTCATGATGCCAGGGGATTTTGTCTATTGTGTTCACTGCTGTAATCCCAGCATCTAAATCAATGTATTGCACATAGTATGTACTCACTGAAGATTTAAGGAAAATTGAAAGTTAGATATAGTCACATTGAAAGAGATATATACAAGGTTGGACAATTTAGTTCACGAACTCATCCTAGAAAAAAAGTGCTACAGACCTCATTGCTGAATATCACTATGGTCACCTTCAAAGCAGTTTTGGAACTCTTTTTCTGAAATGGCCATCAGAACTGTGTTTGTATTACCATTGACGTCCTGAATGTCATCAAAATGTCTTCCTTTCAATATTAACTTTATCTACAGGTAAAGAAAGAAGTCATTGAGGGCCAGATCAGTGAGCAGGGAGGGTGTTCCAATACATTTATTTGTTTACTGGCTAAAAACTCCCTCACAGACAGTGCCATGTAAATGGGAGCATTGTTATGATGCAAGAGCCATGAATTGTTGGTGAAAAGTTGAGGTCATCGGACTTTTTCACGCAGCCTTTTCAGCATTTCCAAATAGTCAACTTGGTTAACTGTTAGTCTTGTTGGTACAAATTCATAATGAATAATCCCTGTGATATAAAAAAAGTTTAGCAACATTGTTGCAACAAGTTCACAGACTTAATTGTCAGGCCTCATATATATATGTGTGTGTGTGTGTGTGTGTGTGTATATATATACATATATACATATATATATATATACATGCATATACACATATACACATGTATCTCCAAAGTAAGATAGAAATACTTTTATTTATCATGTTTTTAACCATCCATCTATGGCTTCTCACTGTTAGAGGAAATTTTGGAAAGTTTCCTGTGTTTACCCTGGGAAAACTATTAATTTCCATTTCCATTGGTGGTATTGAGTCTCACAGATAAGATGTATTTCATTTCTGATAATATTCATGTACAATGTTGTTAATGATTAGGGCAAAATGCAGCAAAAAACAGTAAAATACAGTTTTCAAGAATTTTCATGGAACTTTAAGTAACAGACATATTGAGTGTCTTCAAAAGATGACACATGATAGCGGTGGGCAGATATAAAGGTGAAGACTCAGTCCCTGTCTCAATAGTACTTACCATCTATTAGGGGAGTCAGGACTAAGCTCAGTTCATCAAACATTTATTAAATTCCTACTATGTGCCAGGCTTACATTAGATGCAGGAAGTAAAAACATAAATAAGGCAGAGTACCTGTATTTTTGTGAGAATGTGTGGGGATATGGGTACTATATAGAAACCAATATAAACGCTAATACTTTCAGTGCAATGTGGGAGGTTATGAGAGAGTGGTAGCACTCTGTAGGGAAATTTAACCCAATACAGGAAGGAGATGGAAGGAGGAGGTGGTAGAACCTGAACTGATCTTGAGGATGAATGTTAGCTAGAGAATGTGAAGATCATCCCATGCTGAAGGAACAACAGAGTGACAGGAACCACAAACATCGCAGAGGATAGGTGTGTAAGGGAGGGTCCACTACTGCACTTTCTCTTTGAATTGTTGTGAAACTCTTGCAAAATAACTACAAAACGAATTTCTGGGATCAGAAAGTACCATTCCTCACTCCCATGCACACCCTCTCCTTTTGCTTTGGTATTGTTAGACAGCAAAGCATTTTATATAACGGGGTGGGGGGCGGGGTGGGAGGAGGCTTACCTTGAAAATACTTATGAGAGCTATATTAGCTGCTAGGCATAGACAATTTAAACCACTTCATCAAACACAATAACTTCAATATAATGGCCATTTTACCTTGATCATTTCTGCAGTTGCTTACCAAGAGAATCTTGAATGGACTCCATATATATATATATATATATATATATATATATATAAACCAGATTCTGAATCAATGAACGCTTACCAAACAACTAGTATGCTTTCGTATCTTTTTTCCCTTCTGTAAAGAAAGGTTAGTTTTGCAAATATACATAGTCGGGGTGGCTGTTTGGACCAACTAGAACCAATACAGACACGATGAGGGTTCTCCATTCTGGCGAAACAAGGGCGAAAAGTTTTTCGTGAACTTTCAAGGGGGAGACACAGAGACGAAAAAGATACGGGATATAATTTGAAAGTATTAATGTGAAAAATTATGCTTTGGGGGCCAAAACTAAAGTACAGGCACCCTGGGGGAAACAGTTTCCAGGCTGGAATGAAAATTTTCCTTTGTTCATAGAGCAGTTCTCTTTCAATTTCACTCCGCCCTCCCTGTCTTTTAACAACTCTTGGCTTCATCATTGTCAAGGGATACCCAGGTCTTCTCACATTCGTTCTAACCTTTGGAGTAAAAATTGACATCTCTTTTGTACCCCAAACCTCTAGGCTAAATGCGCTACTGCACTCAGCCTGGAAAATAAATTGAGCTTTTAACATTCCCGTAAATATTTCATACATAATGCCGTAGCCTCCTACCCGAATCCGCCACCAAAGAACTACAATACCCAGAATGCACTGTTTTTCCTTCCGCTTTCTACCAAGGCAACGCCAAGCTTGATCTCATTTCCACAAGCAGTCACATGACACGTTTCCTGTCAAGATGGCGGATAACCTCCCCTCGGAGTTTGATGTGATCGTAATAGGGACGGGTATGTGTGGCTCTGGTACTTCCCGGACAAAGTATAGGAAGTCTGTCTCTTTCCTACCTTCTCTGTCAGTGGCGAGGGTTGGCGAGAAACGTCAGGGGTCGAGTATGGGAGGAAGGACAGAAAGGAAGTGAGGTAGTCTGGAGTCAGCGCGGGATTTAGCAGCTCTAGGGAGGGGCTTGGACCCGCCGTGCTTAGCGCCATTTGAGTGGGGGGTCGATCTGGTCGATGCCGATTGCTGAGGTTGGTTGCTGCGGGTGATTCCTGTAATTTCCTTAGAGGGAGGTGGGTTTGCAGTGCCATGAGAATGGAGGGTCGCGATTTTATTAATGGAGACGCCTTTGGCATACGTTATGATTCCCTCCTTGTTCATTTCAAGGTGATATTCCCCATCATTTTGTCTCGCCATTGCATAGGGATTTTTCATATATTTGTATAATCCTAGGGTGCAGTGCAGCTCGGATACAGCTTAATCCTAAATTTTTCGCAAAAGATGCTAAATTGTTGCCTGTGTGCATATTAATTTACTAGGGTGAGGAAACGGATTATTTTCTATTGTGTGGAGAAGCCTAAGGAATTGTATTTTTTTTTTGAGGTAGCCATTATTCCTGCTTTATGGTGCAGAAAGAAAGCATTTTGCTTTCTACCACCCACTGACCTACCCACAATTAATGAGCTGAGAACAAGCTTCTGTGAGTTCCAGTTCAGGTGTGTGATCTTATCTTTCCCTTGTTTTCCAATCATTTATTTTCTATGTTTTGGGTGGAGCCAGAAATCCCTCTGCAATTTTTAGTTGACAAAGTCAACGTACAAAACGTGGCAGAAGGCATTTGGCAACAGTTGGTGTTTTTTTTTTTCCTTAACAATGTAAAGGATGGATTTTAGATGGTGTGAAATAGGTTGTTGGGTGGGGATTTCTCCTGTCTGCAGAATGTGGTAGGCCCGAGAAGCTCTGGTAGATTGAGACCCTGCCCATTGTGTTAATGAATTCAGTTTGATGTCTTAAAACAGTAGCAGTCATGTTTCCAGGGCAGGAGTAAAAATAATAGCTACCTGTCTTCCAATTGTTATTATTTGCTACACGATGTGCTGAGCACTTTACAAGCTGTATGTAATCCTCACAACAACCTTATTAAGAGTAGGTATTCTCTACACTTTACAAGAGGAAAAGGGGACTTAGGTTACAGTTTGCTCATCATCCCATAGCTGGTAAATTTCCAAATGCCCATTACATCCCAGAATGAGAATCAGTTGTTCTGACCCACCGAGTTAACCCACGTTAATAGAGATAATTGGGAAAACTTGGTTCTAGACCTTGCTTGGCCATTAACTAGCTGTGTGAAATACTAGGGCTTAATCTCGCTGAGCCTCAGTTTCCTTGTTTTTGAATATAGGGAGGGTAATATAGTCTTTCAGGTGTCATCTAATCAGAAATTCTCTTATTCTAGTTGTACCTGGGTAATTGTTCTTAGAACAACAAGGATGTGTTTATTCCCAGCCTGAAAACTGCATGGCTGCAGATAACCTGTTTGTAGTTGCTATGAACAGATGTTGGATGAAACCTGGAAGAAGCCAGTAGACTATTAATGTCTTCTCTCCAGTCTGTCTTAAAACTGAGAGCAACGTCCATGTTAGAGTAGTTGTTGTACCATACTTGGTTTCTAAAAGAAAGGTTATTGCCTTTCTTTTTTGTTACCTAAAATCTTGGGGTGTTAAAGTTTTTTTTTTGAATCATTAAGAGATTTTTTTTT